CCCCCCCCCCCCAGCTTTATGAGGTATAATTGACTATTGAAATTGTATACATTTGAAGTATACAGTGTGATGATTTGATACACATATACATTGTGAAATGACTTCCACAATCATCACATTAACACATTCATCACTTCACATAGTTGCCTTATTTTGGTGGTGAGAATGCTTAAGGTCTACTCTCTTAGAAAATTTCAAGCATATAATACAGTATTATTAACTACAGTCACCATGTTGTACATTAGATCCCCAGAACTTATCTTATATCTGGAAGTTTGTACCTTTGACCTACATCTCCCCATTTCCCCCATCCCTTAGCCCCTGGCAACCACCATTCTACTCTCAGTTTCTATGAGTTTGACTTTTGTTTTTAGATTCTACATATGAGTGAGACCATACAGTATTTGTCTTTCTCTAACTCATTTCACTTAACATAATGTCCTCCAATTTCATCTGTGTTGTCACAAAAGGCAGGTTTTTCTTCTTTTTCGTGGCTGAATAATATTCCATTGTGTATATATAGATATAGATATATACCGCTTTTCATTAGCCGTGGATCCATCGATAGACATTTAGTTGTTTCCATACCTTGGCTTTGTTAAGAATGCTGCAATGAACAGGGGGGTGCAGATGCATCTTCAAGATCCTGATTTTCTTTTCCCGTCAAAGGCTGTTCTGGTAAGTCATTTGTCTCATCTGTGCTACAACACAGGTGAGTCTTGAAAACATAATGATCAGTAAAAGAGGTCAGTCACAAAGGACCACATATGGCATGATTCCATTTAGATGACATGTCCAGAATGGGCACCTCTATAGAGACGGTAGTAGATTGGTGGTTGCCTAGGGCTGTGGGTGTTGGGCAGAAAATAGAGAGGGCCTACTAATGGGTACAGGGCTTGTTTGGGCCATGAAAATACTCTAAAAGTGATTTTGGCGATGGGTTGTGCAAATCTGTGAATATCCCAAAAACGATTGAATTGCAAAAAAAAACAAAAAACAAAAAAAAACAACAACCTCAAAAAACAAAACCAAAAATCAAATCTAAAATCTCCCCCAAACTGACGAGTGGGCCGTATGTGAACCAGTCCTGAGAATGGGTTCTGATCTAAGCGTGATGCTGAGTCTGCTTCTAGGCCCCTGAGGAACAAGATGCAGTGAGTCTTCCTTAGCCTCATCTTAAGCAGCGACTTTTATGCGGTCGTGGTTGTGATGCTCCACTCATACATTTGTCCAGTGCGTGTAAACAGAGGAGCCTACTGTTCTGAAGTTTGCCGGCCTCTCTCTTGCTCCGTGGTCCCTGCAGCCTCGCCGTTTGTCCTGCAGCCCGGGCACACCCGTCGGATGGGCAGGCTGCCACAGAGCCCTCGCGTTTTCCTGCATTTGGGGGGCATGAGACCGCGTGAGATCATTGCTGTCCCGTAGGGGTATTTAGTCTAAGCAAGGGCCTGAAGGAAACCTTGCTTCCTGGTGAATTTTCTTCCTGGTCTAAGACCTCCCCTGACTTTATCTGAAAGCGTGAGCAGAACTTGTCCTGCCCCTGGTGGTTTCCAGCCCGCATTTACTGTGAATTCAGATTCAAAGAACAGGGCAAGGTGAAGGGCTACGTGGTAAACTCGGGGCCATGTTTCTGTCTTTACCTTAGCCTTCCGAGTTCTTGACATTTTCCTTTCTGAGAACCAGTATCCTTGCATAGTACCATATGATTTCCTGAGAGTAGAAGGTCTAAAAATGCCAGTTTGTCACTGACTTGGAAATTAAGCACTTTCTCACACATGGGTCTTTAATCAGGCTTGGTTCATGGGGGTTGTATGATAGTTTTGTTGGTTAATATTATACATTATTTGTTGAGCTTTTATGAAATCAGTGGTGTTAGCAAATCATTAAAACTTTTTCCTGCAGCTATAGATTTTTCTTCTTTTATTTAATACCCATTTTCCTGAAAAGTGTTATGTGGATCAAATATTATTTTAAATGCTCTTGGGTTATTCACTAATGGAAATGCCTGGCGAATCCTTCTGATAGATACCATGTACTGGTATATATGGAATTTAGGTTTTATAGCCTAGGATTTAAATCTTATTATTTCCCATAAAGCAGAGCACACTTGTAAGTTATGCTATTTTTAACATATTTGGAGTGCCCACAAATGGATCATTGGCATTAAACATTCATGCTCAATACTCAAAGGTCAACTGCTCATCACCTGCGTTCAAATGCCATCAAAAATAGGACTAAGTTTGGGACTCCAGGAGGACGGCTGAGAAAGATCTAGCACGTCTTATTAGGCCTGACCTCTGTGGCCGTCTCTGCAGTAACAAATGTTTCTGATGAAGCCTGCTGAAGATGTGAGATGTGGATGCTGTAAATCTAAGAAGAAAAGCGTTTGGATGGGGGCACTCGAACTATTCTCTTGTGGGACAGGTTTTATCTGGTAAAATTAATACAAGCTATGGCGGGATGATGTATAGTTTAGGGAAGAATCCGTAGGCAGGTTCTTTTACTTTACATAGTAGGAGGATGGTGCCCTTTCCTATGATCATTTTTGGTGGATTTCTTATACTTCTACCCTGTGCCTTTAAGCCGGACAGACAAACCTAGGACAGCTATTAGCCAGAGATCAACCGGAATGGGCTGCAGCTCTTCAGACCTGTTGTAGGAATGTTCTTAAACCTCTGCTCTGTCCCGCCCTTGGCCTTCCTCCGTTCTGTTTTCTACCTGACTCCTGTTGACTTGGCCTGTGACTCAGGTCCCTAGGTTTTCCCTTCCCCTCAACGACAGTAAATCCCTGTTTCTGTAACCTCGCTCGCCAGGCCAGTTCCCCAGCCGGGCCCACTACCCCGGCCCTTCTGCAAGAGAGGCTCAGGTGATTTCAGTGTGTTGTGGAGGCCGAAGGACTGGGTAGCCAGCGATTATGAAAATCAGGGAGCCGGCCTTTCTGGTTGTGAGCGGCACAGCTGTGGGACAGAGGCCGCGGGCGCACGGTGCTTAGGGGTTCGGGCCGGGAGGTCGGTCAGACCTGCGCTGAGGCCCCACTTCCCCCCTGCATCTCTGTGGCTCGGGCATGAGCCCTATTGTGGATATGGTGACAGCACCACAGCCAAGGCTTGTCGTGAGGATTAACTCAGACGAGGCCCCGGCAGCGCCCCGCTCGGCGTACACCGAGGGGACTTGTTTCTGAAGAAGCAGTAACGGTGTCGCCCAAACCCGTTCCACTTGGGAGCAAAAGCTGCCCTACAGCAGAGCCCTTTGGAGAAGCAGCGTGAATTGGTTGAGAGCATATACCCTGGAGCTTCATGGCCTGGACTCAAATCCCAGCCTTCACCACTGATTTCACCTCTTAATGAGGTCACTTAGCATCTCTACAGCTCAGGGTCATCTCCTGTAAAATGGGAAGAAGAAAGGAAAGGAAGGGGAGGGAGGAGGGGGAAGGGAAAGGAGACGAGTGTTGTAAAGTAAAATCCAGGACGCTGAGAGGAGCGAGGGGAGGGTTGCTCTGTTCTCTTGTACATTTAGATTGGTCTGGACAAGAGGTAGAGTTGCTTTTCATTTCCACCAACACTAGGACACTTCCTCTTCAAACAACAGTTAAATGAAAAGCTGAGTTCATGTGAGAAAATTATCAGTAAATAATTGTTCAGCAAGATGGTATGCAAGTACCTGACATTTGGCACCGGCTACTTTCAGGCTGTGGTTCCAAGCCTTGGCCAAACATTGGAATCACCTGGGGAGTTCTAAAAATTCCAGATGGTCAGACCACACTCCAGACCAATTGCATCAGAACAATATGCCAAGCAACTGCCCACCCCCAACCCCACAGTGGGTTTGTTTTCTGGAGAAATTGAACTACGGGGCGTTTGGATTCAGCTATCAGGCAGGGCGGAAGGTGGGGCTGTGGCTCAGGCAGTGAGCCGGAGGACTGGTGAAATCTGCTCATTGGATGGGGACACCTCCAGCACCTTTCACCTATCCTGCTTATTTCCCAAACAGGAGACTGGAAGATCCTTCCGTGCAGAAACTGACTGGGTCCAAGAAGAATGACTTGCAAATAATGTTCTGAAGGTGCCCAGTGAGTAAGTTGCCTTTCTACCCAATCATAACCAGCAAAACTCACTCTTTGGCACACTCTTCCCTGCCCATGAACACAGAGCTTCTAATCAGCTTTCCAACAGAGGACTATGGGAAGGAAGTCCAAATCTATGCACACTAGGTTAGTTAAGTTCTAGGTAGTTGGTCACAGCAGTGGAATGGAGCGATGGTCCAGTCATGAATGAAGTAGGCCACACAGCGGTCAGTAGTAGCTGGTAGGTGGTACCACTCACCTGGCCCATCACAGGTGTCTCAGGGCCAAGAATTGTCACTGTGCTGACAGTGAGCCTGGCGCTCAGCTATCTCTGGTGAGAAGTGAGCTGCTTTTACAGAATTCATGCCCATGCTATGGGAGCATTCTTGCTGTCTGAACACAGAAGTTTGCTTAGGAGTAGACTCATGACCTAAACCCTGCCAACCACCCCTGTCCCAGCCCCTTGGCTGTAACTGTTGGCCAAGAGCCATTCTCTGCTGGACTTGCGAAGCTGGTAGGACCCAAGCCTGAGGCTGCCAGGGGGAACTCTTGCTATCTCATGGAGCACAGGGGGGTGCACTATGTAAGGTTAAAGTCAGCACAAAGAGAAGAGAGTCGAGAGTTGGAAAAGCATAGAAATTATGCCCTCATTTGAGCAGCATGGGCCCAGCCATGTTTTCCAGAATCTTCTGCGCTTTTCTATTACACGAACCAATGTGTGCTCTTAAGTCAGTTTGAGCTGAGATCCATCCCTTGAAGTGTGAGGATCCTGAATCACACCTGGCCCGTGTGCCTTGTATTACAATGGTGTCCATGGCTTTCACGTGTGATTGATTCTCAGTGGCCTTCAATAAAGCCTGGGGCACGCTTGGATGGGTCATACTCCTTGCTCTTAGGTGTGTTAGAGGAGCCCACTCTGTTCCCAGGGGGCTTGGGGAGCTTCTTCTGGTTTGCTACTCTTGGCCTCTCTAGTTCTGTCTATGGAAATCAGACTCTCTCTAATTGCTGACAGCAAAACAGTTGCTGTGGGAAAACATCTTTTCACTTGTTCAGTCCAGAACCATGTGTCATCAGCTTCTTTTTTCCAAAAGCCCCACGTTGGGGATTTCAAGGGTGTGCCTGTCTGAAGTTTGCCTCTGGGCATTGTAATTAGCAGCAGCACAGACAGGATTAGATTCACAGGGAGCCATTTCTCCATCAGGGGAGGGGCAGAAGACAGTCTCAGTAGGACCAGGACAGTGCAGAGCCAAGTTGTCAAGCAAATTAAGAGTCTTTGGAGTGCAACTCATTCCCAGTTCCATGGCCCACCTTTCCCTTTGGTGTCTTTCTCACGAAGTCACTGAGGTCAACTTGTCCTCTATCTAATCGCATCCAGCTGGCTATCTCACACCACTTACCTTAGACTATTGGAAATGATATTTCTCACCCTGTGGCCAAACTGCCACCTCCTGAGTCCCCAGTGTCTTAATGACCATAATTCATTTCAGAAGTGAGTCTCAGATCATGCTACACACCCCTGCAGAATCAAGTCTTCCACTGAAAGCACCCGCACCCCACCTCCTCCTCTCCCAGCCTCAGGCCCCACCATTTAGTCCCCAGGCCTTTGCACGGCCTGGGCTCCAGCCAGAATGGCTGATCCTCCTGCACTCGCCCCGTCTCTGCTTGGTGGCCCTACGTTTTTCTACCCCTGTGCCTTTTGCCGTATAATTCCCTTTTCCTGGGATGCCCTTCTCCCCCATCTTTTCCTGCTGGTCCTTTCTTTACCTCAAGGACACCTCGACCCTATTCTGTCTCTCAGCAGAGATGTTCTTGATAATCCTTGAACTAACCTGTCGACGTAAGAACCTCCAAACCTGTAGAGAATTTTTATAAGAATTTATTCGAAGTAAACGGAAGACAGTTGCTGGGCAGCAAGACCTCAAAAGCTTCAGAGAATAATAGTTTTGCAGCTTCTTTTATGCATTTGAAATTAAGGAGGGGACGAACATAAGGAAGATTACGGGGAGGTGGGAGAGAGCAAGGTGGGCGAGGGTTATAGGAGAGTTATAGGAGCAAGGTGGGCGGAGGGGTCTGAAAAGAGCCCTTTCAAAGGTGTGTTAACCTAGGTGCACAGAAACAATGGACAGGACTTGAGGCAAAGGTAAACCTTTTACTAAAGAAGCTATGTACCTACAGCTTGACTACTCGCCATGACCTGCCAGATGTATGATTACATCACCCAGAGAGGTTACTTTCTGCAGAACCCCTTTATAGTCCACAAACCCCTCACCTGGGCCATGCCACAGGGCATCTGTCGTACTGCAACTGTTTCACGTTCCCCACTTCCCGTAAGGGACCACGTGGGTCTTACTCTCCGCAGAGCAGTGTGGGGCAGTGGTTATGATCATGAGCTCTGGGTCCCAGTCTGGCTCTGCCTTCCCTAGCTATGCGACCTTGGGCATTTCACTTAATTTCTGGCCTCAGTTTTCTGAGTAAATGGGAATAATAGCACAGGCCTCATTGGACCATGTGAGGATTAAATAAAATAATAAATGCAGGAAGGTCAGAATAGCGCCTGGTGCAGAGTAGTTGCTCACAGTGTTAGCTGCCGTCGTCATCACCACTATCATCATCATCACCGTCACCATCTTAACCTCACTTTTTCAACTACGTATTCATGGAAGGCTGTTAGGTGGCAGGCACTGTTCTAGGCAGTGGGATTACAGCGATGGGGCAGATTAGTCTTTGCCCTTGTAAGGTTCATGTTAGTGGAGGGGGGAAAGGAGACAAGTAGACCAGTAAACGAACAGATGACCTCACTCCAGATGGTGATGAAGACAGAGCCATGATAAATGAAAACGCAACGCGATGATGTGATACAGAGGGATTCGGGGGCTTGAGATGTATTTTGATCACTCTTAAATGGTACAAATTGTAGATGTGTTGCCTATTTCCAAGGCTCAAAAACATTTGACAAAGATGAATAGATGAGTAACAGTGAATTATGACATTTTCCCAAGGGTTGTATTTATTATCATTGACTCTGTAATCTTAAAAAGATCGTATGATTCAGTGGGTTTCAGGTCTCTGACAGAAGGTAGGTGGGAGAAGCATATTTTGAGACAGGACTTCTTCTCTGTCCCCCCACCCCTCGTTTTGTGTGCTGTGGACTCCCTTGATCTCAGGTCAAGTCTGAGTTCTGATGAGGTGGTCCTCAAGTTCAGACCCTTAGTTCTGGCCTAGTCTCACAGTCCCAGCCGACTGACTCGGTGGCCGGAGCGGGTGAGGTAGCTCTTTGTGGACCATGGAAGGTGGCATGGCCAGAGGAGCCCTCCTTTTACTTATCCAGCTCAGCCCCACAGAGCCCAGGAAGGGTGTGTTTCTGGGAATCAGAGTCAACTTTACGCACAAGAGATAGAGCTAACCCCCTTCAACTATATAGCACAGTTTAAAGCTTTCCTCCCTTAGCCCTGGCCAGTATGGTTCAGTTGGCTGGGCGGCGTCCTGTGCAGCAAAAGGGAGCCAGTTTGATTTCCGGTCAGGGCACATGCAGGGCTGTGGGCTCAGTCCCTGGTGGGGGTGTGCAGGGGGCAGCCGATAGATGTTTTGCTCTCTCTCCTTTCCCCTCTCTCTAAAAATCAATGAAAAGATTAAAAGCTTTTCTCCCTTAAACATCACTCTCCATGGATTTTGTTATAGGTGAGGCATTTTGCTATTGGATGAAAGTATCAAGAGCCTGAGCTGCGTCTTGGTGCAATGGAGGGATTGCACCCAGGGGTGCAGGAGGCCTAGGCCAGGAAAAGGTGAGTGTGCAGGGAAGGGCCTGAGATAAAGGAGTCGCAGAGACAAGCTTAGGCCATGTGATACGTCCAAAACTGTCTCCCAGTCCATTTTGAGGACAGCAAGGCTGATGTTCAGGATGGCCATACAGGGTGTCAGCATGTTGACACATTTCTATCATGGTTGGTAAACAGGAAAAAAGCTGCCTCCTGACCCCTCACTACAAGCCCCTGCCAACACTGGGTCCATTCTGACTGGTGGGTAACTAACTGCATTACCAGATATGACATATTTTGAATATCACTCCCGGGATACCTAAGGATGCTGTACGAATTAGTGATTATTCTATATCATACATTCAGACATTTTAAAGTGCTGAGTTAAACCATTTGCTACCCATTCGCACTCTCTGAGTGTCTGCTATGTGTAAACACCCTGATAAGGCCTACGCACTGGGCCAGACGGAGCACAGAAGAGACCCACACGCTCCCACGTGGACACACTTCGTGCCACACAAGCCCAGGTGCTTGCATGGGTCAGTCTTGTTTCCCCACAGTGAGGAGAAACAGAAAGAGGGAGCACAAAAGGTGGACACTGGGACAACCAAGCCCAGACAAGTTCTGTCTGCCCTCCACTCTCAGGGGACCTCGGGGGCTCTGGTCTGGCAGGGCCACGTAGCACGCGGCTGGGAAGCAGGCGCCCTGAGGGTGTCCCTTCTGAGCCTGAGCAGCATAACTCAGGAGGGCCAAGGCCCTGCTATTCCTGCAGCTGTGGCTCCCTCCTGCCCTGAGCTCCGTTTCCCCCCCGCTGTCCTTGGGTGAGCTCTACGGAACGTACTCCGTTCAGAATAGCTCGAAGTGAAGGTAATCGATGGAGAGGCAAAGGCAAAGGCAAGCCCGCTGCAGTTGTTTCCGTTTTTCCCTTGTCATCAACCCTTCGAAGGCTGTGTCACCCCCCACCTCTGAGCCGCTTGGACAGCCGGCGCCCCTCGTGGAGCCGAGGCCCTTACTCTAGGGACTGGCGGGCATCAGCTTTCAACTCGCCTCACTGTGGAGATGAGGAAATCGGCCTTTCCTCTGCGCTTGCTCTAAACCTGCTTTAGTGTCGCTCATTTCAACACATGGAGGTCGAAGCCAGTAGAACTCTCCTGGTTCCTGCACCCCGTCTGCTGGTGGGGGCGGGGCAGTAGGGAGATGGGCCCCAACAGAAGCCGGCCATGGAGGGACCCCCTCTGACTTCAGGTCACCTACA